GTCTGGGACAAGCAGAAAAGGTCAAAAGCTATGTACATATGACCAGATAAGATGATGTTAAGCGAAATGAACCCCAAGATAGGGACACAAGTGGTTTTTTCTTTCTTGCTATTGTTTCTAACCTATTTATAATGTACCATGTGATTTTTGTTGCTTTGTATGTTCCTCCCCCACAGTATAACCCCTGTTTTCACTGTATTTGATGTCAGTGCCGTGCATTTTGTATATACACTTCTCTAATTTGGGGAGGGGAAGGATAAACAACAATATGCTTAAATAGGGATACAGGTTGACCCATTGTAGCAATGAGATGTACAAGACACTATGTTGAAAAGTGAACGTTACAATTTAGGCGTGGGAGGGAAAGTGTAGTTGTGGAGGTGGGAGGGAAGGGATGGTAGGGGAAAAACAAAGGAGGAGGTAACAATGCTTGATAGGAAATGTTCTCATTTCCTTGCGCATGTAACCGTAACCAGTCTGTACAGTATTTTTACAATAAAAATGTATTAAGAAGCATACATATCTAACATTAATATATATGTTAATTTAAGCACAGTGCCAGAATATAAAATAACCCTCCCACAAGGTAATCCTCACTTTTTCAATAAGAATCACCACTGTCATCTTGGATAACTAACGCGTTACAGATATTTATTGAAGTCAACTCCTTATTTTAAAATAATTCTGAACAAAGATTTGATACCATAAATATTGAGCTAAAATAAGTTTTATTATCATATATCCACCTCTTTGCATGCAATCCTGACACCAATATCTATCTCTGTGATCATGAGAGCCACTCTGAGATATTTAAAACAGTCTTCCAACCCTACTTTTTCCCTTCTAAGCATGTCTTTCCCATGGATAATGTATTACTTCATATACACTTGCAATTTAGGACATCATTTATCCTGAAGTTGTGTAGCTGTGATATAACAAAGGTATGTGTTTTTTTGTTTGTTTTTGGGTCCAGTCGTGGGGCCTGAACTCTGGGCCTGGGTGCTGTCCCTCAGCTCTTCAGCTCAAGGCTAGTGCTCTATCACTTGAGCCACAACGCCACTTCTGGCATTTTTCTTTTTTTGCTTATGTGGTGCTGAGGAATCGATCCAGGGCCTCAGGCATGCAAGGCAAGCGCTCTACCACTGAGCCACCTTCCCAGCCCCCAAAGGTATGTTTTAATAAACTTACCGTCTCTAATTTTTGAAATTGTGAGGTAACATTCTAGGAATTAGTGTTAAACATTCTAGCCTCCTTTTCGCTGGTTCTTTCTAGAGAGTTTGTAGGCATTTAATACCAGCATGGATCACATGCTATTCCAGACTCTTTAAAATAAATTAGATGGGCACAACATTATGATACATTGTGTAAGGAATTAAATATAAGATGTCTTCCTATTTTTTGAAGGATAACTTTTGGAGAAAACCTATCTTACATTTAACCCTTTTCACAGCAAGGAACACAAATAAAATTACAATATTTAGATGGCACTGAGGCAACTGAACATGGCTATTCAAGTAGAGATAGCCACTTGCCTGGCCTTACCAGTTGCTCAGCATATCCATCTTTAGCAAAGCTCTTCTGTGTCAGAAGTACAATAAGGGACTATACCTAAAGGCACATAACCAAATATTAGAAAATTGTATGTAATGGAGAAAATGGGGAATCACATATGTAACACATTAGGAATTGGAAAGGTCTGCCATTGGAAAGGTCTGCCATAATGAAGATTTTTCCAAAATCAGCTCTGGATGCCAAGATTATGAATTTTCTTTTTCCCTTCTTATCTGTTTTATCTGTAATCAACATCTATAACATTTTTTGTTGTTGTTGGCCTGAACTCTTGAGCCTGCACACTGTCCCTCAGCTCTTCAGCTCAAGAGCTCTCTTGGTAGCTCTCTACCACTTGAGCCACAGTGCCACTTCCGGGCTTTTTCTGTTTATGTGGTGCTAAGAAATCAAACTCAGGGCCTCATGCATGCAAGGCAAGCACTCTACCACTGAGCCACCTTCCCAGCCCAACATCTATAACTTTTATTGTTAGAAAAAATTTTAATACAAAATAATGAGTACTTTGAGCCTCTACCTAAGTTGAACTGGCTTCATTTCTTGTTTATATAATGTCATAATTCATGCCTACACTGATACAAATGCCTCCCTCCCCCAGTCCCCGGTAGTCGTATTCATAGAAGATGGCTGGGATGTAATATAGAAATAGCTACTTCTAGCCCAGGGACTCATTTATGCAGTTACTGAGTACTTAGTTTCAAGTATACTGCTAGAATATTCTGAATTCTAAAGGAAAGGAGAAAAAGCACGTAATTCTCTTTCCTCAGGTACATCTTTCTATCTATTTCAGTCATGTCTCCACTACTGCAGTTAGCATTTGTTTTAATAAGGAAATGCTAACTGTTCCAATTTATCTTCATTCCACTTATTGAACACTGTGTCTTAAGCTTCACCAAGAGATGAGTTTATTGACAGACTTACCTGTGGAGAAGATGAACACCGTGTTGTTCCAGAACCCATAGCTTTTTAAGGCTGCAGTGACATTTCCTACTGCTTCATCCATAAGGGACACCATTCCGGCATAGATTTTCCTGTGTTTATCTTGGATAAAATCATATGGCTTTAGGTATTCCTCAGGGACCTGAAGTGGGTCATGGACAGACTGGAGAGCAAGGTAGAGAAACAAAGGCTGGAAAAAGAATATGTTCATGTCAATAAAGAGAATAGCATGGAAGCATTAAATACAAACAGAATGAGATAATCGAGAGTTATCAGTTAATAAAAATAGTATCAAAGTACATTGAAAATATTTGTGAATTAGTATATAATAAGAAAATCCAATATATATAAACAATCTTTACAACCCAATAGTAAAGTGGGCAAAGATTTTTGTTTTTATTTTGGGTCCGGTCGTGGGCCTGAACTCTGAGTCTGGGCACTGCCCTCAGCTCTTCAGCTCAAGGCTAGCGCTCTACCACTTGAGCCACAGCACCACTTCTGGATTGTTTTTTTTTTTTTGGCTTATGGGTGCTGAGTAATCGAACCCAGGGCCTCAAGCACGCAAGGCAAGCACTCTACCACTGAGCCAACTTCCCAGCCCCGGCAAAAATTTTTGAAAGAAGAATACACTTGGGATTGAACCCAGGGCCCACACATTCTACCTCTTGAGCCACACATTAGCCCTATTGTTTATATTTTGTTTCTGAGACAGAGTCACCCTAACTTTGATCAGGTTAGCCTCAAAGTTGAGATCCTCTTGCCTCTGCCTCCCAACTAGCTAGGATTATAGGCATGTAACACTGTCAAAGCCCTGAAAAGAATTTAATAAATATCTCTTCAAATATATACAAATTGTCCTAACCACATAAAAAGATGGTCAACTTCATTAGTCATTAGAGAAATACAAAACAAAACTAAACTGTGAAGGCTGGGAGGCATGATAGTACAGTGTCAGCCAATGAGCAAAAGGGTCAAATCAAGAGTTCAAATCCTAGTCAGTTGGTAGGATGTCAGCCAATGAGTGAAAATGTAAGATCAAGAGTGCAAATCTTAAATGAACCCTAAGATATGTATTTAAATGTTTTTTTTTCTTTCATGCATTTGTTTTCTTTCACACATTTTTTTCTTTCATGCATTTGTTTCCCCTCCTCCACAATATAACCCCTGTTTTCACTGTATTTGATGTCAGTATAATTTGTGGAGGGGAAGGGGAAAAACAAGTCGTTTAAATAAGGATACAGGTGGACCCGTTGCAACAATGAGAAGTACAAGCTGTCATGTCAAAAACGAACTTTACAACTTTAGTGGGGGGCGGGGAGAATTGGGGGAGGGCGGGGGGAGGCTGGGAAGGGATGTGAAGGGGAAACAAAGGAGGAGGCTACAATGCTTGATAAGAAATGTACTCCTTATCTTGCCCATGTAATTGTAACCCCTCTGTACAATATTTTCACAATAAAAAAAAGAGTGCAAATCTTGATCTTGAATAACAAACAAACAACAAAAAAACCCTAGCATGTGATACCATTTTATACCCACTAGGATGGCTATGATTTAAAAAAACAGAAAAGAACAATATTGTTGAAAAAATATGGAGAAGTTAGAACCTTCACAGCTAGTAAGGATATAAAATGATGTAGATAGTCACCAAAACAAAGCTTGGCAGTTCATGACATTGTTAGACTCAGTATTTCCATTCCTAGAGAAACACACACACACACACACACACACACACACACACACATATATACAAAAATGTGTAAAAATGTTCATTGCAACATTATTCATAATAGCCAAAAAGAGAAAATCCAAATGCCCAACAATTGATGAATTGATTACAAAATATAATATTTTCAGTAATATATAGCAAAGAAGAATTGAAATGCAACAACATAGATGGACCTTGAAAACATACTAAGTGAAAAGTATCATGAACTGTGTAATTGTATTTATATGATGTCCAGAATAAACAAGTCTACAGATGCAGAATGTGGACAGGTGGTTAGCCAGGGCTGTAGGGATTATGTAGAGAGGTATGTGAGCAAATGATAACAGGTACAAGTTTGCTTTGATGACATGTTTTAAAATTAGATTGTACACCTCTTCAATTTACTATTGAATTGTGCACTTTAAGAGGATTAATTATGCAATATTAATTAGATCCCAGTTAAAATGGTAGCAGGAAATGAAAGATTCAAGACAAAAATATGTCAGAGTCCTAGAATGGTCTAGAGGGCTCTGATCCAAATGAATGTTAATAATATCAACAATAACAACCATATATTAAATGTTGTCTATGTAGCTGCTACTCTGACAATAAGGTACTCAATTCATTTAATATTCAGATTTTTCCAATATTATATCCATTTTTGAGTTGTACTTTACATTACATTTTAGCTGAGGCATAGAAAGCTTATGATTTGCCCAAGCCCATACTACTGGAAGAGTAATTTCCCACTGGAAATTTCAACATTACAATGTGAATGTGTACCAATAAATGCTTTAGATAAAAACAAGTCCCCACCTTTTTGGAGAGGATTATAGGTCTTTTTATATATGCTAGCCTTGTGGCTTGAAGTCAAGACCTGGGCAATGTCCCTGAGCTTCTCTTGCTCCAGGCTAGCACTCTACCACTTGAGCCACAGCGCCACTTCTTGCTTTTTTTTCTGTTTATGTGGTACTGAAGAATTGAACCCAGGGCTTCATTCATGCTAGGCAAGCACTCTATCACTAAGCCAAATTCTCAGCCCTTTTTAATATATTTTATGAGAAAACAAGAAATGTCACCCTATTTTCATCTTTGATGTTGTACCTAACATAAGAACAAACTAATTCCTGAAAACCAAGAATAGTGATCCACTGATTTTATTTTCTTACTTCAACCTGTCCATAGCTTTTACCACAGGTAGGCTAGCAGGTGAGGTTTCCCTGCCTAACAAGCTTTGCTAAAGGCACTCTTTCCATTCTGCTCCCTCCTACAGAACTCTCCAGCAAGCCAGAAACTCTGAACACAGGAATAAACATAGTTTCCTTGATGTATTCAAAGTATTCTTTGAAGTACTGGAGCTCATAAGTGAGTGAAAGAAGAAAGCAATTAGGAAGCAATTTACTGTTGGTAAGTTGTTTTAAACACCATAAACACTCCTGTAATGCAGCAAAGAGTGCCAACAGACAATCAAAAGTTTATTTATAGTTCAAACCTTTTCAGATGAAAACTTAGAAATAAGCCAAGTGCTGGTGGCTTACACCTATAACCTTAGCCAGTCAGGAGGCTGAGATATGAAGATCTTAATTGGAAACCAAAAAGATGAACTGGAGTCATGGCTCAAGTGGTAGAGTGCCAACTTTGAGGGATAAAGCCAAGAGAGAGCAAAAGGTCCAGAGTTCGAGCCCTAGTACCAGAAATAAAACAAAACAAAAACTTAGAAATAAAAATTTCCCAAAAATTAAATGCTAAAAAATAGCTAAGTACTAATTACACTACTTTAAAATATTTTTAAACTAAAGAGGTAGAAAATGAAATAATAGAAGACAGAACCGTACATCTGTACATGCCTCCACTACCCACAGCAACCCTTTTCATATTACACGTACACTTCATAACACACATCATACCAGAACCCCAGGGTTCTTCCAGACCTCAGTGAGGAAGGATTGTGGTGGTATGGCTCTGTGATGAAAGCAGTGGTCTGGGTCTTCAGCAAGCTAACTCCAGACAACAGCCAAGGACTGGATGAAGATAGGGTTAAAATCCTGAAAGCTACAATTCGCAGCCGACATAAAATGTTAAAGAAGATCAGAAAATACTACATAAGAATCTGTTTTACATTTCATTCTTTCAAAGAATCAGAGTCAGAATCAGAATCAGAATCGAATCACTATATTTTCACATTCTAGAAGAAAACAAAGTGCTACACCATGAACAACAAAGGCCTCCTCCCCAAGTGCTGTAAATTGTTCTAGGTTCTCCCCTTCTGTTCTTTGTGTAATTGGCAGAGGCAACTGACACGAAAGTATAGTACTTCCCTGCCTCCATTAGAAGGGTCCAAATAGACCCTTCTGTAAGAAAAGAACAAGAGAAAAGTATAATGCATTCATTTAAGTATTGTGTGGCTTAGAGGTTTCAACTAAAGACCCAAAGACATGGAATAATCTGTCCATTTTGATGCTTAGATTCAATGAAGTAGAGACAGCTATGTAGAAAGCCATAATCTAATGGGAACAAAGGAGTGGAGAACTGCTGAAAGCCTGCCTGTTCAAAGTCTTCTTGGCTTCTCTGATACAGCTAGTTTATATTTCATCCTCTCAGGTATGTGTCAGGATCCCTAGGATGAGTTCTGTAACATCAGTCAAGTGTAGGTCAGAGAACTTCCTTACAGCCAGCTTTTCCATAGAAAAGTAGAGCAATGTTATGTTTTTATTCTTGGCTTTGGGGAAAAGGAAACAGATTTCTATTTCTTGAAGAAAAGGCAGAGATTCCAATAGCCTGCCCCAGGGAGCAAAGGGCATCAAGAGACAGAAGGATAGAATACAGCCAGAAAGACCTCACTTCTGAGGCAACTGCAAGACCTTCCATTCAATGTTCTCTGAATGTGAAGTGCAATACACAGGAAACCATTTTGGGGGCTCCTACACTTATAAACATGAGCATCTATGACCCAGCTTTGAATTCCCAATATTATGTGGTGAGGATGGAGGAAATTGAGAGAGAGGATGGAGAAGATATGCTCATCAGGTGAAGGGGTTAAAACAGATTATCCTGAAGCACAAACTAAGTTAAAGACACTTGAAAAATAGCAGGTGCAAGATTTCTTTGACCAGTATGTTGTTTTTTAAAGAGAGAAGATTAAATTACTATGTGAAAGACCCTCTTCCTGCACTAGAAGGAAAGACCACATCCTTATCCTCAAGAACAGGAAGTCTCAATACAGAGAACTTGTTAAACACACACACACACACACACACACACACACACACACACACACACACACACACACCACACACACAAACTACTATTTTGGGTTTTTGCTAGTCATGGGACTTGAACTCTGGGCCTGAGCATGGTCCCTCAGCTTTTTTGCTCAAAGCAAGAGTTCTACCACTTGAGCCACAGTGCCACTTCTCACTTTTTTGAGTAGTCTGAGTCTCATGAAGTTTCCTGCCCAGGCTGACTTCAAACCACAATCCTCAGACCTCAGCCTCCTGAGTAGCTAGGAGTACAGGTGTGAGCCACCAGTGCCTGGCTCAATACGATTTTTAAGTTGGGAAATAGCATTTTTAATGCTATTTTCTGGCCCAGTGGAAGGCTCAATTAACTAGTGCATCAAAGTTTTCCAACCACCACTGGGATCCTACCTACTTGTCCAGTGGTTCTTCCTGGGTAAGTAGCATAACCATTTTCCATACATCTGCTAGCCACAGCCCCAACTCACTGTTAATTCAAAGCAAGCAGCTGTTACTCTGGAAATGGGCTCCTAATTAGTGTATGTCTATGGACTTGAGTTCCAACATTCTCATACCTTGGCGTTGGAGACCTGCTGGCCCATTCTAAGCTTACGTAACTCTGATTCAAACACTAGAGTCCTGGTGCCACTTATTTTTGGTTCATGCTGGGGTCTAATCTGTCTTTTGTGTTTTCTTGGGTTTAGATACCTGCTCTGTCCAACTCAGTCATAGCCACTACTTTTGTCCAACCTTAATTATAAACATTTTATGTATATTAGAAATCAAGAATCCTAAGCATAAAATCATATGAAAAAAGTTCAGTATTACTTAAAATATAGATCTATTACCTAAAGCTATTAGCATACTCATATTTAAGATGTTAAATGGTTCTTTCCCCTTTTGTATTGTTATTTAACCCCTAAGACATATACTCTAAACATCCTCACCATGTTAACAAAACAGTGAAGATTAAAGTTTTATTTTCATTTCTTTGTATATCTGCCTAACTTAAAGCATAAAGTGAAAAAAAGGTACATGGTAATTTTTTCAACTCGTTATTTCATCTTTGACATCCAAATTAAGGTATGTCTTCTCAAATTATGGCAGAGAAAAATGAGAGTTGTACTCAAAGAACTAAGAGTTTCTTTAGGAAACTTCTAGTAGATTAGCTCTATGGGAGTTTTTACATTAATTCTGCAAACTGCTGTGGGACCGTTTTTAACAGGAAGCTGCACTGTTAAAAATACGACTTTCCCTTTGCAGTGTTACAACTATGGAAATTACCCTGAAGAAAAGGAAGGATATCCCTTCCTAACACATGTGCTGTACAGTGTCTCCCTGAATCCAGCATCCACCACTGTGTGTTTACAAAACATCTGCATATTCTCCTCAGTTCCTCCTCAGCTGTCCTTTTAAAATAGGCACAGCTTTCAGTTGGCTATAGATACTACATGGTTGTTTTTTTTAATGATCTCCATCTTAGAACAAGTTGTCCATATTATAAACTATAAAGAACGCCTGATGCCAGGTGCTGGTAGCTCAATACTTTTATCTTGGATACTTAGGAGGCTGAGATATGATGGTCACAGTTTGATGCTGGCCCAGGCAAAAAAGTCTGCATCTGTATCTCCAGTTAACTAAGAAAATGCCAAAAGAGATGAGGGGACTCAAGTGGTAGAGTGCCAGCCTAGAGTGAAAAAACTAAGCAAGAGCATGAGTCTGAGTTTAGCCCAAATACCAGGATTTTTAAAAAAGGGATAAACTTGCACAGAATTAGATTAAACACTAGAATAAAATGACGAAGAAGTATTTCCTGAAACTGGTAAAGCTTCAAAGTTCTATTGTGAGATGAAACCATAAACACACGCCTGCACTCTCTTTAGCAAATGTGGTTGCATTACTTATCATTCCATTCATTTCTGTCCATGTTTAAGGACTCTAGTAATAATGGACACTGATGTTCAGTGGTTCAGACACTGCAGGAAAATGACTCTCTCAGCTGGTGACTTCTGTAATCATATCTCTGAGCAGTGCTACCCTAACAGCACCCCTCCCGTATATGGCTCACAAGCTCCTGGGGTCCCTCATTGTTTCGGCTCCAGGTACTTTCCCTAGTTAAGCCAGCCCACCCACAGAGCACTATTTCACCCCAGCTGCTTCCTCTTATCCACTTAATATCATGAGGTCACTACACGAGAATACTCTATTGTTCTTTAGTAGGAATGAATTTGTATTGTAGGCAGATTATCCTTGTTGCATAACGAAGGTATTGTTAGATGGTAAACAGTAAAAGGTAGTAGGCTCCTGCCTACCTCTGATTTGAGAAGGATGTCTCAATTGACACATGGCAGAGTATGTTGACATCGGAATTACTGGCGGGGAGTGGGGGTGGCAATGAAATATCAGTGACTTGGTCCCATCTCAGCCCAATGAACCACAATATTTGACATTAGTATTTCTTACAAATTTCTTCAATAATTCTAATATATGACTGGGACTAGAACTATTTAAATGAATCATAATTGGGGACTCAGAATTTGAGGTCTTGGACACTAGGTGTGAACTGGGGAACTTGATTAAAGAGCTAAGATTTGGAGTCTGAGAATGTGAGTTTAAATTCTGATTCTGACTTTCAATAACTGTAACCTTCAACAAGTTACTTGACGTTTAACTAATGTCAAATGATACCCACCTAAACGGATAATAACCAGTTCCCTTAAAATCTTAGCTTGTTCTTTTGGGGTATAAGCCAATGACCTAATGCTCCCACTGTCTGAATATTAGTTTTAAAAATCTATGTTTAAAACCTACATGCTTTTATGTATTTGAGAGGATGTTCCCCTTTCTCATGTTCAACCACAGGCACAGCTGATCAGAGATATCAGCATTAAGAATCTATTAGAGGTCAGGTGCCAGTGGCTTATGTCTGTAATCCTAGCTACTGAGAAGGCTGAGACGGAGAGGATTGCCATTGGAGGCCAACTGGGAAAGAAATATCCTCAAGATTCTATCTCCAGTTCCTCAAAAGACTCCACATAGAGCTCCCCTATGACCCAGCAATCCCACTTTTGGGCATTTACCCAAATGATCACAAACAAGACCACACTAAAGCTACCAGCACAACTATGTTTACTGCAGCATAATTTACCATAGCTAAGATATGGAACCAAGCCAGATGCCCCTCAGTAGATGAATGGATCAAGAAAATGTGGTATATATACACAATGGAATTCTATGCCTCCATCAGAAAGAATGACATTGCCCCATTTGTTAGGAAATGGAAAGACTTGGAAAAAATTATATTAAGCGAAGTAAGCCAGGCCCAAAGAAACATAGGTCCCATGGTTTCCCTTATTTGCAATAACTAGTATTTGTCTGAGTCAACCAGAAAAGGTCATATAAGTTGATGTTAGGGAAATGAACCCCAAGATAAGTATTCAAATGTTTTTTTGTTTTTTTTTCCTTTCATGCAATTGTTTCTAACATATTTATAAGATGATTTCTATGTTGCTTTGTATGTCCCTCCCCCATGGTATAACCCCTGCTTTCACTGTATTTGATGTTGGTCTAATTTGTGGAGGGGAAGGGAAAAAACAAATTGTTTAAATAGGGATACAGGTGGACCAACTGCAACAATGAGATGTACAAGTCGTTATGTCCAAAAACGAACTTTACAACTTTGGTGGGGGGTGGGAGGAGGATCGGATGGGGGGAGGGGGGAGTATGGGAAGGGATGGGAAGGGGAAACGAAGAGGAGGCAACAATGCTTGATAAGAAATGTTATATTGCCCATGTAATTGTAACTCCTCTGTACGGTATTCTCACAATAAAAAAAAAAATCTATCTCCAAAAGAACCAGCAAAAATCAAGGGTGGAGGTGTAGTTCAAATGGCAGAATGCTAACCAAGCAAGTAAGCCAAGCCAGTACAAAGCTCTGAGTTCAAGTCCCAGTACCAGCCTCTCCCCAAAAAAGAAAATCTATTAAAGAGTTTTTCCTAAACAACAGTGGCTTTTTCCTACTTTCCCAAGATTGATTGATTGTTGGTTATGGGGCTTGAACTCTGGGCCTGGGTGCTGTCCCTCAGCTCTTCAGCTCAAGGCTAGGGCTCTACCATTTAAACCACAGTGCCACTTCCGGCTTTTTCTGTTTATGTGGTACTGAGGAATCGAACCCAGGGCCTCATGCATGCAAGGCAAGCTGAGCCACCTTCCCAGCCCCATTACCAAGATTTTAATATACTTAAAGAAGCTAAATTACCTTCTCTGGTGGATGTTTAGCTATGAGGGCTGTAGCCCTTTCAGTAAATACGTTTGCTGAGTACATATTTTTATATTCTGTTGCAACTTCTTCACCATCTCGAAAATCAAGAGCACATCGTGTGACATTCAAAGCATCAATGAATGCACAGTGCTCATGAGAATAATAATTTTCACTTCCTAGAAGATATCCTGCAATAAAAATGATAGACAAAACAGTGAGCAGGGCATAAAACTTGTCAAACAAACTAATTTTTCAGCATTTAATTGACTAATGCAATTGATTACCTGTGACAGGGTTAATCAAATGACAAGACTAATTAGAGAAACATCTCTATATTTGGTAGTAGAGCTCACTAAAATGTTACTACATAGAAACAGATTCATTCCTCAGTCAAGCCTTTCAGAACGTAGGCTCTATTAGGTAACTAGTAAGTGACTCCTGGTAAATATGATGTTGCTTTTTTAAAAAAAACAGAGGTCAAATTTAGCATAGATGAGAACACTACACTACCTAATGACAAAAATAATATACGGTTAATGTGATATAGTATAAATTTCTACTGAGATAATTATATAAATGAGTCCAGGATTCAAATTTGTGGTTACTGAGCTTGAGAGACTGGCTTCCAAGTCATTTATAGATGTAGCCTTAGAAGTCATCTTTTGTCAAATGGTGACACCCACTGGTGAAAGACACAAATGTTTCTAAATAGAGAACCTGTAGATATGAACAGAGCCAAAAGATCAAACTAAATTATAGCACTGAATTCAGATTTTTCTATCTACAATTATCTCAATTTTGCTGTTAAATAGTATCAGTTGCCTACCCCTACTGCACAATTTAAACACAGAAGAAAATACATTTTCTTAACTGACACTTCTTTCTGCAAATGTTCCATATTTTCCTTTCGTATTGGTTTTAAATGTTTTTTAAAAAATTTTATTATCTTTAAGTGGTTGTACAAAGAAGTTCCCATTCTACAAAAGAGTATTATTTTCCTTTAGCAATAACATAAGCTAGGCTGCATGTTGTGATTACATTTATATAAATGTTATATTTACATACATGTAATATTTACAAGTTATATTTACATACATATTTAAATATTATATTTACATACCTATAACGTATGGAAATAGAAAGTCGTGACTGCCTAGGGCTGGATGGTTAGTGAAATGGGGAGTGAGTGTTCAGGCTAATGGGGTATGGCCTCTTTTTGGGGGGTGGTAGTGATGAAAATGAAACTTGGTAGTAATGAAAATGAAACGGATTGGAATGTAATGCACACTAGAAATTTATTTAAAAGGCATTGAATTGTGCACCTTGAGTGAATCATACGGTATGTGGATTATATCTCAATGAAATTATCAAAAAATAAATGGCTGGGATTTTAGCAATTTTCTGATATATACTGCTTAGAAATCTTAAAATGATATATATATATATTAAAAAAAAAAGGACTGGTCCTTTCCCTAGTCCTACACTTCCTTTGTTTTTTTTTAAGTGTGTGTGTGTGTATGTACACATACAAGCTGATCCTAGAACTTGAACTCAGGGCCTGGGCACTGTTCCTGGTTTTTGTTGTTGTCATTATTGTTGTTGTTTTGTTGCTCAAGGCTAGTGCTCTACCATTTGACCACACCCCCACTTCTGGATTTTTTTTTTTTTTTTTGCTGGTCATGGAGCTTGAACTCTGGGCCTGGGCACTGTCCTTGAGCTCTTCAGCTCAAGGCTAGCACTCTACCACTTGAGCCAAAGCACCCACTTCGGGCTTTTTCTGTGTACGTGGCACTGAGGAATCAAACCCAGGGCCTCATGCATGCAAGGCAAGCACTCTACCACTGAGCCACCTTTCCAGCGCAACTTCTGGATTTTTAAGTGCTAACTGGATATAAAAGTCTCATGAACTTTCCTGCCCAGGCTGGCTTTGAACAGAGAACTTAAAATCTCAAACTCCTGAGAAGCTAGGATTGTAGGCATGAGCCATGGGCATCTGGCTACACTTTCCTTTTAACAGCAACTAAGTTTTGATAATAACTCAATTCATTTTAAATTAAATCTTCCGTTTCTGTGATCCAGTTCCTGAATATAATTACACATTGACTTTAAGATACCTTTTATATGGCAACTTTTCTGCTATATAAATAGTAGAAATTTTAAAAATCCAATATACTTGTTAATGTACATGTAATATATCCAAAAATAATTTCAACCCTTCTCTAGGTGATTAGAGTGGTCAGGACACTAGACATAGTTATCTTTTTTTTCTTAGTTGGTTGTAGGGCTTGTACTCATGGATGGCCTGAAGTTTCTGAGCTGTTGTGTTCAAGTCTATGGCTCTACTACTTTGATCCACAGCTCTACTTCCAGTTTTGTTTTTTGTTTGTTTTTTTTGGTCGGTCATGGGGCTTGAATTCTGAGCTTGGGCACTGTCCCTGCGGTCTTCAGCTCAAGGTTAGTGCTCTACCTCTTGAGCCACAGCGCCACTTCCGGTTTTCTAGTGGTTTATTGGAGATAAGAGTCTCACAGACTTTCTTGCCCAGGCTGGCTTTAACCACAATCCTCAGATCTCAGCCTCCTGAGGAGCTAGGATTACAGGCATGAGCCATGGGCACCAGGATTCTACTTCCAGTTTTTAAGTGGTTAATTGGAGATAAGAATCTCAAGGCCTTTCCTGCCTGGACTGGCTTCCAACTGTGATCCTCAGATCTCAGCCTCCTGAGTAGTGATGATTGTAGTCGTGGGCCAGAAGCACCTAGCCAGAGTAAGCGTTTTTAACAACCACTGGGTATTAAAATTTGAGGAAGTCACTTTAGCCCCCTTATTTATTAATGTAAACTGTTTTCTACTATTTGGAAGAAAATGTACATAGGATATACTTGATTAGATGATATATAAACCATAGGTATTAAAATAATATTATACATAACATAATTATAGAAATAAAACAATTTACACCTCTAGCCAATCGACCATGTGACTGTCACATGGTTTTTTCATTGTACCTACAAATTTGAACTTCTAAGGCTAAAGATAATGAAAGCTTGTGCTCTGGGGGGTGAGGGATTATGGAAAAAAAATATTTTTGTTTTATTGAGAAGGAATCTCTCTATGTAAGCCAGGGCAACCTGGAACTCTCAGTCATCCTGTCTCAGCCTAGTGCTAAGGCTATAAGGCATGATTCACTATACCAGCTAGAAAATAGGTTTTAACCAACAAAATCTCTGAATACCTTAACAGTTTAAGTGAGATATAATTTACATACATACATCCACTTAAAAGTACACATTTCTGGGACTGGAAATGTGGCTAAGTGGTAGAGTGCTTACCCAGCCTGCATGAAGCCCTGGATTCGATTCCTCAGTACTACATAAACAGAAAAAGCTGAAAGTAGTATTGTGGCTCAAGTGGTAGAGTGCTAGCACAGAAAGGCTCAGAGACTGTGCCCAGGCCCTGAGTTCAAGCTCCAGGACTGGCAAAAAAAAAAGTGCACATTTCCTTGTTTTTCAGTGTATTTATGATCATGTGTCTGCTTCCAGAAGAACCTTAAGGCCTAAACAGTGACAATGTGTGCGTGGTCATCATGCTACTCTGGGATGGAGTCGGACTCCTCAGGTCAGGCTCTTCATACTCATGAAAGGATATGATAACTTCCTTTTGTCCAATTGAACTTATAAGTGTGAAATACATTATAACAAAAAATTCAAAATCTTTTATTTGTGTGTGTGTATGTGGGGGGGGGGTGATGTGTGTGTGCGCCAGTATTGGGGCTTGAACTCAGGGTCTTATTTGCTCAGCTTTTTTGCTCTATGCTGGAGCTCTATCATTTGAGCTACATACCCTCTTCTGGCTTTGTACTAGTTAATCGAACATAATCATCTCTCAGGTTTATCTGCCCAGGCTAGCTTCAAACTGGGATCCTTTTATCTCAGCCTCCTGAGTGGCTAAGATTACAGGTGTAAGTCACAAGCCTCATCTTTTAGTACAGGCCTGGATAAAAATTTTGAAAGGTAATGAATACAGTTATCAATCCATAAAAGCATGGAGGCATCCATGGTGGTGGTGATGGTGGTGGTGATGATGGTTGCTAAGTGAAATAAACTGGTCTGGAAAAAAATTTTTTGAAAAGATGTACAGCCTGTTATCTTTCAAGACAGAAAATTGCCTTCCATTCAAGTATACAATGAATAGTTCAGTCGTTTTAACAGCTATTGGAGAATACTGGGAGTACATATTCACAACTAGAAATATCACCACGCCTGATTAGTAATTTCTATTAAGGGCATATGGATGAAGTGCAGGTGCAACACATTGACTGTCTGATATCTTTGCACCTTGATCTTAACCCTAGGTCATGCGTTGTTGTTTTTTATGTTGTTGTTGTTAGATGTGCTTCGATTGCCTTGTTTTTCTCTCCACATATATTCCTTTAACTGTATTGTATTGTTGTGCTTTCCCTAGCTTAAATGGGAAAAATACCTCAAGAAACATCCACAAGAAAACCACCACTTTATCACTAAGATGATGTTTTTAAGAGATGTTGTCCCCTCCCCAGCTTATCTTCTCCCAAAGGAAAAAAAATCTCCCTCAAGCCTATGAGCCAGAAAATGCTTTACTCTTCTGAACATCTGGTTTCCATCTCTCTTGTGAATAAGGAGACTCACAGCCTTTTTCATTTTGCTTTTATTTTCTTCCTTTGGACTTCAGAAGTCTTGAATCTTAATATCAAATGCAAATCCCTCCTAAGACTATGCAGTCTTTCTGCAATTTGGTGCCCATAAACTATCTCATCATTTTCTAATCACTCTGATTTTGTTGTTCTATTTAAATGTTTTATGTTCACTCTGTGTTCCTTTTTGGCTATGGAAGACTGTAAATAAATGAAGAAGCAGATGGCAGGTAGGTAGGTAGCTAAATAGTTAGACAGAAAGATAGCTCAACATAAAAAGAGCCTGACAGAAAGATATACAGCTGCTGGCAAGATAAACAGGTTATTAATTGTGGTACAATTAGTAACAGATTTCAGAAGGCACATTTTAAAACAAACTTTAGGTTCATATTTATTTTTTACAGGGTTACCAAGTTGATAAAATACTTATAAAATACTTATAAAATAGGTCTGATTATCAGATCTATTGCCATTTGTTATTTGCCCTCCCCATTCTATTAATATTAATTTTTAAATTGATCCTTCCCCACTTAGTGTTTTCACAATAGATCTCACAGATGGCAAAAAGATGCCAAGGGAAACGTGTTTTTTTTTCTCCAAATTCTCAAAAGGGATTAAAAGTCTTCAGTTCATAGAGAGAAAATAACTATTATATACGTTTGTAAATAAAATAATCTTACTTTAGGTTTTGCCTGTAATTAAAGAAAAGCAGTTGTGCCCTTTACATAAGCAAGTTCTAGAGGGTACATTGCCCTCTGATGTGGAAACAGTGACTCTTCCACAGCTCTACGGTGGCCCTGAGTGCTCTGGCACTGCCTTGCTGTGGGCGCATGTCCACCATGAGCTGAGTGCAGAGCCATGGATGGAGGTAACATTAGAAGGCGGCCCACTGATTCACTCTGTCTTCAACTTTCCAGTTATTTCATTTGATTCCACTGGGGTGTGTTTTATGAGATGGCTAGAGTTAGTCTGGGTTAAAAAAACACATATTTACATTTCCATTACCAAAATAGGTATCAAATCCTCGGCGGGTTGGAAGACATTCTTTCCGGTACATTCCCAGGTGCCATTTTCCGACCATGTGAGTAGCATAGCCTGCTTCTTTTAGAAGTTGGGGCAGGAGTTTTTCATCCAGAGGAACACAGCTGGGCTGGCAGGTCTTGATTAAATAGTGCTGTAAACCCATATGGATCTTAGAGAGATAAACAAAATAGTGAGTTATTGGTACTGAAACGTTGTAAGTAGATAAAATGGCTGCCTAGTTTATTGGACATATCTGGTGATCTTCTGACCTCTATTTCTGTTCTGGCTTGAGACCAGTCTCAAGGTAATGGACATAAGTGGAACTTGAAAAGATGTATAAAAGCATTTCAATAAACAGGATTGGTGGTATACACCTGTAATTCTAGTGCTTGGTAGAAAGATTATAAGTTTAAGGCCAGTCTGAGCTACACAGGAAGACCTAGTCTCAAAAAGTTCTAGATGCTGGTGGCTCATACTTTTAATCCTAGCTATTCAGCAAGTGGAGCTCAGGAGGATCATGGTTCAGGGCTAGCCCAGGCAAAAAGTTCATGAGGCCCCACTTAACCAACAGCTAGGTGCAGTGGCATACAACTGTTATCTTAGCTATATGGGAAGTATAAATAGGCAGATTGCTACCCATACATGTCATACATGTGAGATCCTACTCTAAAAAAAATGAAGGAAAAAGGAGCTGGGGATGTGGCTCAAGTAGGAGAGTATCTGCCTAGTAAATGCAAGGCCCTGAGTTCTACCCCCAGTATTACAAAACATTGCCACAAGTGTTAGATTTTTTCAACAAATACTCATCAAAGAAATATGTCAGAAACCATTGACTTTAAGTTTTACTCCCTAAAAATTAGCAATAATATTAAGAGTGAGGGTCTATCAAGAAAACACCATTCCATGAGAAGCTGATATTTGGTTACAGAGAACATTTGTATGTAATCTTTGAAGAAATGCTAATTTTTTTAAAGAGGAGTTCTGGGTGAATCTAAGGCCTTGCATAGTCAATAGTGGTCATGGTAACAAATGTAAACTACATAATCAACAACATTATCAATCCTCCCAACACTATGCTTCCTCAAGAAAAAGTACCTTTACAACCATCTTGCATCTAGGCCTGGGCCTGCCCCCAGAGTCATTATAGTATATATGACATCATATAAAGTATACACTGGAACTTCCAATCCACAGTTGTGCTGGCACAAACTACATAGTTATTTATCACTGATGTTTCTCAGACTGGACAAATTTATAGACTCTTGTTTGGTTTTACTTTACTATTTTGAGATAGATACAAAGCACAGTCCAAAAAAAATCTGCTCAAATTCACAGTGATTGCTTTTCCTATTTATTGTAAACTATAATCAATTAGTTTTCTCAAAGCCAAGCAGGGTGGTTCACACCTGTAATCCTAGCTACTAGGGGGTGGAGGAAGGTTAGCTGGGGAAGATCATGGTTCCAGCCAGCCCAGGAAAAAAAGTTCATAAGAACCCCTCTCAACAGAAAATTGTCAGCCCAGCTCAAAAATAACCAGAGAAAACAAGCTGGAGAAGTGGCTTGAGCAGTAGAGTGCCTGTCTAGCAAGTATGAAGGCCTGAGTTCAAATCTCCTCCCTAGTACAGGTTGGGGTGGGGGTGGGGAGTACAAGCCCACAATTTTCTCAAAAATTTTGACACAATCTTAGATTTTATTTTTTTGCATGAACCTTTTTAGAAGCAACATTAAAAATTACATCTACTATAGCTTGACATCATCTTATACTATAGAACCAATGGAAGTCAGGAGACTGTAAACCTAGCTACACAGAAAGCTGAGATCTGAAAATTACAGCTCTAAGTCAGCCAAAGTGGAAAAGCCTGTGAGACTCTTATATCCAATTAAGCAGCAAAAAAGCTGTACCTAAATTCAAACCTCAGTATCTGGGGGAAAAAAGAAGGCAAAAAGGAAGGGAAGGAGGCAAACATATGGAATATTTTCTTTTTTTTTTTTTGTCGGTCGTGGGGCTTGAACTCTGGGCCTGGGCGCTGTCCCTCAGCTCTTCAGCTCAAGGCGAGCGCTCCACCACTTGAGCTACAGCGCCACTTCTGGTTTTTTGGTGGTTTATTGGAGATAGGAGTCTCACGGTCTCTCCTGCCCGGGCTGGCTTTGAACCGCGATCCTCAGATCTCAGCCTCCTGAGTAGCTAGGATTACAGGCGTGAGCCACCGGTGCCCGGCTCATATGGAATATTTTCAATGTTAAAGATTTAATATTTTGGGGCTGGGAGGGTGGCTCAGTGGTAGAGCACTTGCCTTGCATGCCTGAGGCCCTGGGTTCGATTCCTCAGCACCACATAAGCAAAAAGAAAAAAAGCTGGAAGTGGTGCTGTGGCTCAAGTGGTAGAGCACTAGCCTTGAGCTGAAGAGCTGAGGGACAGTGCCCAGGCCCAGAGTTCAGGCCCACGACCCGACCCAAAACAAACAACAACAAAAAAAAAGAGATTTAATATTTTTTAATATTTTTGGAAGTACTGGGGACTTAACTCAGGGCCTTGCACTTGGTAGACAAATGCGGTAGACAAATGCTCTATCTACTTTGCAATCCACGCCTCCAGCCCTTTTTGCATTAATTATTTTAGAAGCAGAGTTTCAATTGATACCAGATGGCTTGGGCTGCAACCCTCCTTACTGTGCTCTGCCTTGTCACTGGGGATGACAAGTACACACCCAGCCATTGTGCTTTCCTCTAGCTGGGATAATAGGCACATGGCACTGCAATCAGCCATTGGTTTAAATCGACTCATGAACTTTTTTTTTTGGGGGGGGTCCGGTCGTGGGGCCTGAACTCTGGGCCTGCGCGCTGTCCCTCAGCTCTTCAGCTCAAGGCTAGCGCTCTACCACTTGAGCCACAGTGCCACTTCCGGCTTTTTTCTTTTTACTTATGTGGTGCTGAGGAATGGAACCCAGGGCCTCAGGCATGCAAGGCAAGCACTCTACCACTGAGCCACCTTCCCAGCCCCTGGACTCATGAACTTTTATGCCCAGGCTTGAACCTCAATCCCCTGATCTCTGTCTCTGAAGTAGGTAGGATTACAGGCTTGAGCTACTAAATCTAGCTTAAAGTGGGCTTGTTTAAGGGGTGATAAATAAATTTATTATCTTGCTATGGTGATGGCCTCTCAAGTATAGGTACATGTCAACAGTTATACTGTGTATTTAATGTACAGTTTATTATAGGACAATTGTGCTTCAATGAAGCTGCTCAAAAATAGCTTTTTTCTACTCAGCTTTTTATGCTTCTCTTAGCAATAATTGTCATGTGTGCTGAGATGCGTGCTAGATATCTTCTATTCTGTCAGTCCTGCCCTTTACCTGAGATACTGACCGTGGAGGGCCAAACCAAAGGACTTGCCTTTTAGCTTCTGCTTGCATTCAGGCAATGGAAAGCCCTGATGAGCAAGAAGACCATGTAAGTAAATGGCCTGTAGCTGCCAGGTTACTTCTACCTGGCTACCTATGTTCTACTACTGAAGTTTACTCTGAAGGAAGCTTCTTTTCTAGGTTCTAGTAACTACTCCTCCCTTTTGGTCTAGGGGGTGGTAACAGCTTCACCTGGTTACTACAACGACCTCTTTCTATTTCTCCCACACATTTGTACCTTTTAAAACAGCTCCCTTGTTATTAAACATTCTCTAAATTATTCTCATCTAAATATGACACCTCTTTCCAAGAGGGATTCTGGGAACCACTTCTCTCTACATTCCCTCTCTCCCTCTCCCCCCCTCTCTGTGTTCTCTTTCTTTCAAATCAAAGAATGTGTCTTTCCATTTTCAACATTATAGGTTTACTCAACAGAAAATTGATCCTAGACTCAAAAACTTCATAATATATGCTAACTGGCAACCAAGCAGCAAAGGTAAAAATAATGTTTCATGGAATCCAAAAGCCCCAGCAGAGATAAATGCTATGTGCAAATTTCCTTAAATGGAAAGCTCATCCATCACATGCAGCGAATTAAGTCTGATCGCTTGAAAGCACTGCCAAGAGATGCTCTGCAATTGCTTTTCCTAAGCCATGGGCACCAAGCCATGTGGTCAGCTGAAGCCTGCACACATTATCTACAATTGTATGGAGCAGGGAATTTGTTCTTTTTAGTTCCTGAGAATTTATTTGACAGAGTATTTTTATGGCATTATTGGGAAGCAGAAGCCGAACTCTGGATTACAGCCAAAAACATGTTTTTGGTCTGTTCAAACACTATTTGAAGTCAGGAAGCTGTAATGTGTTGAGAAGCAGTAAACAGGAGAATGCCAAGCTGGTTCCAATCCAGTATGTTAGTTCAACCAACACAGCACTATGGAGTTACTCCATGCTTCATGGGGCAGGAAGATAACAGAATAAGAAAAGGTTTTCCTTGTCAACACAATAAGATCTGAAACAATTCCATTCTCACATTCACCTTGAATGCACAGAGCAGAGCTTATGTGAGTGGAGAAGGTCCTATGCATAACAAAAGTCCAAAGAGGTTACCTCCAATCTACCCAGTGTGGCTGTCATTTCTGCATTAAACCAAATCTTTTGGGAAAATTCCAGCTTGCTAAGATTCCACGTGGCCATTAAGGATTCCCAGCAAAGGATCTACAAACCCTGGGAGAGGACCTGGCTTGTTTCTGGGCTCTTTCCATAAGATAAGTGATGAGAAATCCTTGTTTCTGTTTTTGTCACACTTTATTTGCTCCCATCACTTCCTCTGTCCTCTACAGACCTATGAGAGATTTGCAGCGGTCTCAGGAGCTTAAAACAGAAAAACCAATCTCCTCTTGGAAGAGAAGAGGGCCATCGGCTCCAATGTCATAGACTTTCTTAGTCCAGGTTATTTATTAAGCGCCTATTTTGGAGCTCTGGGCACACTATTTCAGCTACCCTCATGAGAAACACTGCCAAGGGGCAAGTAAACAGAAAATCATTCTCTCCCAATCTCAACAGTGGTAAAATAACATCCAGCTGATCAGAGAGAGGTTCTGTCCAGTCCATCTCACTGGTCTGAAATGAACCTGCATCCTTCCTGTAATCTCAAATCTGTACAACACCTACTGCTGCAGTTCTAGAAAAATTTAAAATGTGGGCAGTCCTACCCCTCTACCTTATGCAGCAGAGAATCCAGAAGGAATCTTTGTGAACAGAATACAGAGTACATGGTTATGGCTATCCAGGAGTTAGAATTTCCAGCCCACACGTTGGCCAGAATACTGCAATTTTCAGCCACTATCAGGGCCACTTTCACCACCTTAGGGTTTTTGGTTTTTTTTTCTGGAGATGCCCCACAGAACAAATGGACAGTAGAGAATCTGCTCCCTTCCCCTGAAGCCTTTTAACAGTCTGCTGCCCATGCTGCTGAGAAGCCAAGAGCTACAGAACACACATTATGGGTGTTAGGAGCCTGGCTTGGCCATCTGGCCTGGCTTGTCAATACTGAAGCTGCAGAACTGGCCCATCTCACTGACAGTTTTAAGGGTCTATTTATTTTGGTGTTGATTAGTAAAACTGCAAATCTCTGACTAAACCCACAAAGGGATGTTGTTGTTAAAGAGAATAAATAAGTCAGAGATGGTTTCAGAGACTCTGTCTGAATCATAAAATGTAATACAAATTTATGATGAAAAGGAAGGAACATATAAAGAAATGTGAGGACGATGCATTTTATGTGGTTGTAATTAAGGAAACAAAAAAACTAAAGGATAACAACCAGAGAGAAGCAGTAGGGAACTCTGGAGCTGAGCTATGAGAGCTGGAAAAGGTTTGAGAGGTAGGAACGCTGCTTCGACAGTACTCAGAACGTTGAGAACAGGCCAGGAAAGGGTTAAAACAGCCAGCTCTGGAGATGTGGAGGAGGCTGAAATGCTGCCTCCTTCCTTAGAGTTGGAAAGGCTGAGGCTAGACTTTGAAAGCTAGATAAAAGTAGAATAGATGTTTGAATTATGTCTTCATTCCCAAACCAATAAGGGAGCCAGTTATTCTCACAAACTCTGTTTTGTCTCTGTGATTCTAATAACAGTATAGATGCCTTGTTTTCTGCACATACCCATGGCAATTTTCCCTGTACTAAACTTCATAAACAAGCTTGAT